ACGCCACCAATGGAACCAGGCTCAAAAACAATAATACGGAAAAGGTTTTCCCCCGCCTTAAAAGAAACGACAGGGCTTCGGAAGGAAGCAACTATTATAATGTGCGGAACAGCTATGAAGGGCGACGTAGAAAGAATCTATGTACAGATCAGTTCCTCTTAGGTCACTAAGGTGTTAGGCCTCTTCCATGAAAATTTTAAAGCAAGTTTGGCTTACATTCTTCGTTGATTCTCGATCAGCAATTTTTTTCTCAACTAGCACACTGACCCTCTTAGATCAGTCGAGTTTATTATACGCATTTGATTGGTTAAAAATATATGGTCCTTACGTCCATAGATTTGTGTTCGGGTAGTAAACTGCTCATAAAATAGAGCTGCAAAATATGAATCCGATCTACAGTACACTTTTTTGGAAGACTCAAAGGTGACTATTTAATAATTTTCCTGTTTTTTAGAGTGCTCGGATCTGAATTCGGGACTTTTCACGAAAAACAAATTAAATATTAGGGATAATTTTTCGGTGCGATTTACCTAAAATCATTTTACCGTACTTATCCTTTGTCTTAATCACATAGAGAAAGTCCCACTTTTGGGTACAATATTCGAACCACTATTCACGCGGCAACGTTTTATTTTACTCATCACTTTCAAACTTACCTATTAGTTATTACATTACGAATTACGATGGCATCTAGGACAAAGTAGATTTTATTTTGTAGTATTATTCAAAAGTAGGTGCATTTATCTTTAAATGTCATCTAGTGACATTACCATAATTTGAAGAAAAGAACACAACACAGATGTTTTGTTTAAAATTTGATTTATAATATATTGCACAAGCGGGGATGCCGTTTCTGAACAAAAAGGCGCAACGGTTTATATACGATTAACAAGATTTTGATTTTATTGCGGAGGTTTTACATAAGTCGACGCTCGACCAACTGGAACAACTTCAGAGACCACCAGGTGGTCGTGTCCATTATGAACCAATCTCTTTTTGGGAGACTATTGTCTTTTGATTTGAAATTTAAAAATTGCTCGAAGTTTGAATGGAAATTGGGACACTTTCATCATCTAGGGGCTTTTTCACGTAATATTTGTATTCGGTTGTCCATAATATACGTAGAAAATGTAAATGCAAATTAAAACTACAAAAATTATTTATGAGAGTTACGTGCTTTATTTTAAAGGTTCAATTTGTTCATTTGTCTCCGTAACGATGTTAGGTTATTAGGGCACTTTGTTTTCCAAAAATTCCCAACAAATTTAATCAAGGGTTGCAAATTGTATGATCTTGCTGGCCAATTCACATTTCTATTCGATTGCCATAAATTAAGCGATCATTAAAGAACGTTTGCAATTTCCAGATAGGTACGTACTAGCACGTATAATAGTACTAGCGGTATACCAAAAGAAACTGCATTTTGTTATACCAAGGTGCCACTTGGTACAGTTGTTCCTTAGAGCCATTTAAGCGATTTGACCCGAAGAACACTTGACATTTTCCGTGTGGGTAGATTTTAGAGGGGGTGGGGGTGATTTATTGTAACATTTTTTAAAAAAACTAAATATGGCCTAGAGACGAGATCTGGGAGTCGATTTCGTATGATTTTAACCCGAGGAATCCAATGGTAGCGCCGGAAATGTAATCCGGATACAGGAAGTCCGTGAAAAGCCGCCATTTTTAGAAAAGGACAGACTTTTGATCGAATTATATTTCTAATGCACACCGGGTCGTGTATGGTGTCAAAGACCCTTTTTGGGGTCAGGGAATTCATTATGATAACAAAAATAACCTACTGCGTATCGGAACTGCATGAGAGGCTTCCCTACTGCACTTTTTGAAGACGTCGCACGCGGTGAAACCCAAGATATTCCAAAGTTTTAATATAATATAAACTTATAATATTTTATTTAATAAAAATACACATTAACAAAACATAAAATATATTAAAACATGGGGTAAAAATTTATAAGCATATGAAGGATCCCAAAGTACATCGCTGACCTCCTCTGAGACTGCGTTATCACCACTGAAAAGGAATTTCACATACCGGGTGAATATTTTAAAACCGAACATAGGCAATTAACATAGGAAAAACTTTTTTGCAGATCGTTGCTCCCCATGTTAACTTAGAGGGTTTATAATGACACCAATCTAAAGAAGATTTTTTCTCATCTAATGATATACGAATTCGCTTATTTTGAGGTGTATTTCTCATTATTTTATCAAAAATTCGGCAATGAATCCAATTAACAAAATCATGTCAAGCCATGGAAATTTCATAAAGAATTGACTCATTAAAATGCACGGACAACAAATATCGCGTACTTTTTCCACAATGAACTTCATTTTAGAAAAAAATTAAGGCCAGTTGTCATAAACTGATATTGATTTTGACGTTTGAATCTGCTGTTTGTTTTACTAGTTATGGCATAACATGATTTTGGTAAGTGGATTTATTGCCGAATTTTTGATAAAATAGTGAGAAATACACCTGAAAATGAACTAATTCGTATATTATTAGACGACGGAAAAAATCTTCTTTCGATTGGTGTTATTATAAACCCTCTAAGTTAACATGGGGAGCAACTATCTACAAAAAACCCTTTTCCCATGTTAATTCTCTATGTTCGGTTTGGGTATATTCACCCGGTATAAATATTAAAGGTTCGGTAGTAAGATTATATCGAAAGTAATATAATACAATATTCTTACCCTTTGTTTGAGTAATCTCCCATACATTTTTGGCATGCAGAGGAACATGACAATCCGTGTCGCCGGTAGCTGCACCGAAGGGTCTCGCAACCTCTCGCGCAGCCACATCTGTCCAGAGCACGGACTGCCTTCCATACTTGTGGCAGCTTGGACCACAGAACCTTCCAGCATTTGGCTTCAAGAGTCCATCCCCATCCTTCTGGACTTGTAGAGCATCTCATCACCTCGTTTGCACATCCCCAGATCCACATCCCCAAAGCAGCACGTGGTGGAAGAGCATATAAATCAATAAATGAAATGAAATGAAATAAGGTGGGCGGCGTATGTCGCTGGTCATATCTGGGGATGTGCAAACCAGGTGATGAGAAGCTCTACAAGTCCAGGAGGATGGGGATGGACTCTTGAAGCCAAAGGTTGGAAGGTTCTGTGGTACAAGCTGCCACAAGTATGGAAGCCAGTCCGTGCTCTGGACAGGTGTGGCTGCGCCACAGGCTGTGAGACCCTTCGGTGCAGCTGCCGGCGACACGGATTACCATGTTCCCCTGCATGCCAAAAATGTATGGGAGATTGCTCAAACAAAGCGTAAGAATATTGTATACTTTCGATATAATTTACTACCGAACCTTGAATATTTATATGTGAAATTCCTTTTCAGTGGTGATAACGCAATCTCAGAGGAGGTCGGCGATGTACTTGGTGATCCTTCATAGGCTTATCAATTTTTTACCGCATGTTTTAATATATCTTATGTTTTGCTAATGTGTATATTTTTATTAAATAAAATATTATAAGTTTATATTTAATATATAAACTTTGAATATCTTGGGTTTCACCGCGTGCGACCTCTTCAAAAAGTGCAGTAGGGAAGCCTCTCATGCAGTTCTGATGCCAGAAGGTTATTTTTGTTATCATAAATGAATTCCCTGACCCCAAAAACATATGTCTAGACACGTTACACGACCCGGTGTGCCTTAGAAATATAATTCGATCAAAAGTTTGTCATTTTCTAAAAATGACGACTTTTCACGGACTTCCTGCATCCGGATTACATTTCTGGCGCTACCATTGGATTTCTCGGGTTAAAATCATACGAAATCGACTCTCAGATCTCGTCTATAGGCCATATTTAGTTTTTAAAAAAATGTTACAATAAATCACCCCCACCCCCTCTAAAATCTACCCACGCGGAAGATGTCAAGTGTTCTTCGAGGCAAATCGCTTAAATGGTTCTAAGGAACAACTGTACCAAGTGGCACCTTGGTATAACAAAATGCAGTATCTTTCAAGAATTTCCGTTACACCGCTAGTACTATAAGTGAGTCGTATTGTCTTCTTGAAAAAAAACCATTTTCCATTTCGCGGCATCTGCGTGATATCGCATAGAATTGACGGTGGCGGTGTTTCCGATTTTATCATCTTCCCAGCAGGAATTTTGCGCTGTTGCAAATCGAGTGGATCGAGTATTCTAAATTATTTAATAAATTCGTTTGCATCATTCTTATGCAATGCGTTTTTGTGAATATGCGTTTCACTATTATTGTTCATAGTAATTCCTAGGAACTCAACATATTCATATCCTATGTGTATTTGCACTGGGAGGGGGAGTTATTGCTACTCGGGACGCTATAGGGAAGCACATCTATCTTATGTAGGTACAAAAAATCTGAGTTTAAATTATGTAGTTTAATGCTGTTTGCAATTCTGTAACCAACTTGATAATGTTTACAACTTTACATATCAAGGATCTTAAATGCTTCATTCTGAAAAAGGTCTTATCGCATAGTATGGCGTATTGAACTTCACTTATTCCAAACGAATAACTCAAAACGATAAGACTGTTTGTATTGTGCTTGGGAGTTCATTCTATGCGGTGCATTTAATTTTTGTTTGCAAAATACGCGATACGTTTGACTGCTAAAAATTAATACTTGATAACGACAATGTCGTTATCGTTTAACGCCTTTGACTTGTGTCATTTACTGGATCAAAGTCTTATTTGCAATGAGCGGATTATCATTGCCGAAATTAAAATTGACACCATGCATTTTTTTGATAATTAATATGGTTTACGTGATTTTCTGCACCAAACGGAATCTGATGCAATAAATAAGAAGCTGTTGGTCTGTAGTGGTGGGTGCCTGTTAGATTTCCTCCTATTACATTTTGGAATATACTGCTCACGATAAAAAGTTGAGACACTATTTTTCAGTACCTAGTGATGTTTCCCATATACAAACAAAATTTGCAAAATTTACAGTATTAATGGTAATTTTTTTTTGCAGGTGTTACGTTCAAGGCTCATAAATTAATATTAGCGGCATGTAGTAAACATCTAGCGGATTTATTTGAAACTGCTCCATTACATCAGAATTTGCTAGTTATATTAGATGGTACATCGGCCAATAATATGTCTGCGTTACTGGAGTTTATGTACAAAGGTGAAGTGCATGTTTCTCAAGATGCGCTATCTAGTTTTTTAAAGGCTGCAGAATGTTTACAGGTACATAATTAGGTTTGCAATGGTGGATTTTGTTTTAAAATCTGATTTTAGGTAAAGGGTTTAAGTATCGAACATGAAAAATTAGCTGTTGCTCAAAGTCATACAAATATGGACACTTTGGATTCGCCAACGTCACGAAAACAGTTAAGGGTTTTAAATGATGATGGCGATGGTACAAATTTACAGCAGCAATCTAGCCCGTCCCCATCCTACTCACCTGCCATGTCTCCTTATATGCACCCGCATCATTTTCGACAATACGAACAAAGAATAGCAGCCAGTAACAATACATCATTTGAACCCTTGACGAAACGAGCGTTACGTAGTCCTAACGAATTATTACAAGAAACCGTACGAGCGTCAGTGTTAAGGGATGGTAGTAAAGCTGGCAGACCCGGGTCGCCGGGTCCTATGTCTTTGGCGTACCGTCCTTCGTCGAGTTCGTCCTGTTTGTTATCTCAACAGCCCGAAGCCGACGGCCCTCCGGAGAATCGATTTAATTCAGAAACAACTGCCACTGCCTTGATATGTCCCGAAAGTAAAACGAATGAGCAGTGTCGAGATCCCGGATGTCCTGAAGGTAATTTGGTAATTGAATATAGTATTTTGGTTTCTGAAATGTTAATTGAACCAAAGTGTGACTGATGAGAAATCTAGGCAACATAGGTGCCTGATCCTGCCGCAACTGAAGTGATGAAAGTGGTCCGAGGTACGGAGCTTCACTGTTCCGCCGCCGACACTAGCGTCAGGATACAACGCACTACCTTTTTTAAGACGAAATAACTGAAGCGAAATTCCGCAATAAATTATGAAGTGAGGAGTATCTTTGGCGCTTGTGGCAGCAGGACGACCAAGCTCCAAAGAAATCATATCTTGTGTGGAGTGGGTTGGCCGAGATATCATTTGTCATGTGTGTTTATTAAATAGGACACATATACAGGGTGTAAACGGTAGATACAATATTCCGTCTGATTGTGATATTCCTTTTGTCAAAAACCGTAATTGCACCCTGTCTAGGTACTATTTCAAGGTTTGACAGTTTCTAATGAATAGCGTGAAAACTACCTAATTTATCTAATGGAACTGATATTGTAAATTGTTTTAGATCTTCGAATGAAAATAGAACCATTACTACAGGACGATCCTTTATCTAGTACGGGTAGTGCAAATGGAAAAAATGGTGCCGCCGCAAACGGTTCCTTAGGTCCACTGTCTAATTATGAGATAGATAGGGAAAATTCAGATCTGATTCCAGCCAGTTTATGGAACTCAGTTACGGGAAAATTAGCGAAAACAGGCTCTGTTACGACACCCGACGGTAAATATTTCATTTTACTTATTCCAGTTATTAATTTATTATTTCTTTTATTGAAAAAAAAACATACGCTTGTTTGGCCATTTCCTACCAGCTCTTGGAGCAAAATTTAGCGCCTTGTGTACTTGTGTACTCTGCATAAGTGTTATTTTGCATAATAATTTAGCTGGTGGCATTCAGAAGCCGCTACTGTTTGGAGGGAACATAGAAGATTCTGGCATTGGACGTGGGTGTCTTTTGCTTTTACTCAAAATTTGGATTTAGTCAAATTGAATAATTAAGTAAATCTGTTCCTAAGCAGTAGCTATTACTATTAAATAGCTGGATATGCAATTACAGTGCTAAATTAATTTGTTTGGTTCTCAAGTACATAATAATGCTTTGACATGCTATCTATAGGTTCAGTAGAATTGAATTTAAATGTGTTGCGTTGACCTTGAATTGTTGTATCCTGATATATTCTCCGCCACGTATATTCTCGCTTGGAAGATTGTCACGGTGACAATATACACATCAAAAACTAATCGGTAGATAGGGTGGGTTAACAGTATACAGAATCCCCATAAAGGTCTTTGATTGGGGTAACAGTTGCATTCGTCCTCGTCGGAATATTCTCCCGCCAGGCTTGAACCGACCGTCAAAAAATTATTGTAATTCTTAAAATGTGCGCTAATGAAAATTGATTTTCGCCCTTATTTTTGACCAGGTGTACTGGTAAAGGAATGCTGCAGTACTGCTCTTACCATGATGGTATTGAGGTTACTTTTCGGACGATATGGTGAAGTTCCTGTGAGCGAAGAAAGTGTCAGCAAATTTTCCGAGGGCGAATTTTCCGGAAGTTAATGTCCTGGGGGCAAGTTTTCTTCAGGCCAAAAATCCTGGAGGCGAATTTTTTTGGAACCAAATATCCCGTGCGTGAATGTCCCGGGGACGAATTTTCCAGGAACGAATATTCCTGGTGCTAACCTTCCGTGGGCGAATATTCCAAGGGCGAATTTGCCGTTGTACCATTTTCTCAAAAAACCGTTGCATGGATTTTTTCAATTTCGTTGTCAATATTTTAATGTTATTTTAGCAATTAGCATTCCACTCAAGATGATACAGTTCGTGATAGCATCATGGGCCGCTGTGATGTCTTATTCCGCTGGATTCGCTAGTACTTTGCACTGTCTTCTAGTTTGGTCTTCTATTAAGGCACTTTACTGTTGTTCCGTTGACACGATACCCATATTTGTGAAACAAACACAATGACATGTTGCAGCAACGATCTTGTCTGCATATACCCAATGCTACATGTTGTAACTAGATTTGTGGTGGAAACAAGCTTGTTTTATTAAAAGTTCGTTTTTGGTGTTTCTATTTTAGTGTTTGACTTTGTTCATCTATAGAATGACATATCTAAGATTTCCATTTGAGGGTGGTATAATGGGAGTCATTGTGAAATTGCTCTTATTATTTTGTAATGGAATTTTTGAAAACGATATCATGCTGAAACTTGATATAACATGTTATGCTGTCCACTATGGACCATTGGAGAGGGTAGGCTTCGGAAGACCAAACACATTTTATCCAAAGGATTTTTTTCAGTTTATTAATTTTTTCTCAGCAGCCATGACAATAGTTATATAGTGGATGAAATTCGTACAGTTTATACTTACTTTTGCAAGTTTTTCCAATGTAGTAAACTATTCCTACCCCAAGATCCCTAGCCGAAGGTGCGCTAAAAGACTCAGATCTTTGATGATTTGCCATCACAAGAGTTGTCCAACATGACAATAGTAAAATTATAAAGCTGTTTTTGCATATTGAGGAAAAAAGTCGAATTGTATGTCTGCAGTAGTTTTTTTAAGAATCTTACGTATCTTTAGGAGCTCACAAAGTTTGTGGTTTGTTATTTTCATGTTCAAAAATATCTATATAGATACATTTCGTTGTGATCAGAATTTCTTTTTAGGAGTACGCCAACTTGGGACTAGAATTTTCGAAAAATCTTTAGAAAAAGAGCTTTCGTCAAAACGCAAATTGTGACTTTTCTCGGTGTAGGTATCTCCCAGACGTATCGTCATTTGGTTTATCAGGAAAAAAATGTTTGTTTTGGGCCCCATATTTTGTTTACAAACTAAAATTATCTTGGAAAAGCAAGGCTTGAGAAACTTAGAATACATCGCTCAAAACAGAATCAGACAAGAGGAAAAACTCTAATACCAACATGGAATTTGTAGAGTAAATATTCTGTAAATCATAATAAAAAGACATTTAGGCCTTTATGAAATAATACTCCTATTATTTACCTTGTAGTCAGGAAGTTTTTAATTGCATTTTAATAGTAACGTTTTTGGCAGGTAAGAAATTGAAGTGCCCTTTTTGCGAGCGACTGTATGGATACGAAACAAATTTGAGGGCTCATATAAGGCAGCGGCATCAAGGAATACGTGTCCCCTGTCCATTTTGTTCACGGACATTCACTCGAAATAATACAGTAAGAAGACATATAGCCCGTGAACATAAAACGGAATTGAGCATGAAGGCTTTTCAACAGTCTCAGCAGGCTCACAACCATAATCCATAAGCAAGCACCTGAATGTTGTTGATGCACACTGCAGCATGTGTACAAGGTACTGTAAATATTAAAGCCAAAACTTGCAAAGTTAGTAGTTAGTCGGAATACATGCTGCAGATTTGACTTTGTCTGTGTTGTTAAATAAATATGATAGGTGTTTTTATACTTTTAAAGTAAAGAGAAATGTTCTAAACATTACGAGCTGGTCTTGTTTTACAAAGCAGCTTTTGGGTCAGGACGCTGCATCGATTTTTACTGTTTGTTATGTTCTTTAATATTTGTTTGTTTATTTGTACTTTTACTATTACTGTTACGATTTTGCGAAGAGAACAAGAAAAAACGTTGAAACATTATATCACATCAGACGAATGAAGGTATTTTTTCTTGTACTTATACTTTTCGTATTACTTATTTTGCGAGTAAGGCGATAGGCTAAGAAATATTGTAAGTTTTTTTACATGCCAGGGTGTTATAAATATTACCGTCCTGGTATTTCAGTGCCCGTACAGGCACTGTCAACCAGTAAACCTACCTCAAACTCAGCTGGCTGCCTCGGTTATGTATAATTTAGTATCAACTAGTCATTTAAGTGCAACACATCCACCGCTAGTAATAATAATATAGTATTTAGTTCCAGTGAAAACTCAGGTAATAGAACGCTTTGCGTAGATATATATTATATACATACATAGGTATATATATTTGTTGCTATTTAGAAGATTATATTACGTGTAAAATATGCAACCTCAATTTATATTTTCGTATCGTTTTTAATACTTTCAGCATTATAGTTAAAGTAGATGTTAAATGTTATTTATCTTGTGTTAGTGGCGGTTTTTTAACTTTTATTTCTTGAAATTCAATTTTAGGAGCTTTCGAAAAAACATCACAATTTAAATTCGGTTAACAAATTTGTATTTAACATCTACACATCTTGTTTAATGAAAGAGAAAATGTTTCCGGAAAGAGGTTAGACGTTTAAGGTTGATAGTCGGTATTAATGGAATGGAACCCTGATTGTGACGGCGATAAATAGTAACAAATATGAAGTATTTTGATATATTTTTTAATGCCATATTCATCAGTTAAACCAAATGGATATTACTGTTATTGTACTTTTACTAGTCATTTCAGTGGTTACTTCATAAACCTACCTCATATATATTATATACAGTATTTTTATTCAATTTTTCTTAATCTATTATTTACATTCTATATATATACCTCATTTTTCTATTATCTAGATGCCGGTTACTAACATTGTTATAAACTTTTGGATTCTTTATGAACAAGACATATCGCTTATTTTATTTTTTTTAGTTTTCTGTATACTTTGCATGGACAGTTTGGTCCTTTTTATATGATTTTCATATATCTCAATAGTTACAATAGCTTGCAGAGATTTTTAATACTACAGAAGGCGCCAACAACATTTACATATTCCAATATGTACTACAATTCAAGATATAGTTCAGATCTGTAATCCTCATGTCATGCAAACTAATTTTATTTCAACCTCTTACCTACCTCAGACGTTTCAGAAAAACCGAGTCACACTTGGCTATACTTTCATCTAATTTTTTTCCAAAAGTCGATTAGCAGCTATAAAATGTTGCGTATACTTAGGCATCTAGATAAAAAAAATAACTTCCTCGGTGTGGTAACCGCATTCAGATGGTATCAGAAATAGTAACTTATGGTAGACACATTTCACTGTTAAAAAAACGCAAGAAAGGAGTCTAAGCTCCTTTTGGGTCCGGATGCTCAAGTGTAACTAAATCTAATAATGTTAGCTGTTACTTATATAAAGAAGTTCATGTCTCCGAAATGTAGCTCTGTTGTTCATAACGTTAATCTAGCAATTTGATTGATATTTTGGTACAAAATTTTGCTTGCATCTCATTTTGTTTAAAGCCACAAATTGCTGGGTTAATTAATGATCTTGCATATTTTTAATGTAAGCATTGGAATTACTGTTCTGTGTCCTTAGTTATTTGTATGGCATTCAGGGTTCAGGTAATCTACAAGTATGCACTGTGAATATTATAAGTAGCTTTATTTACATTTAATTTAGTTGCCCATTAAAATGGTAAAAATATGTTTCTTGAAGTCCAATAATTTTGTTCGACTATAAATTTTAATTCTATTTTTATTAGTTGATATTGATTTAGAAGGAAAAATATGCACTAAATTACACTTGTACGTGGATACCTTCAAGTTGGAATGACGATATTTCAACAGGAGAATACCTAAAAATTGATGTGAAACTTTTAATAATACCTAGCGTATCTGCAGAGCTTATTAAGGTATTTATATAATGAAATAAAGTACCAAAAGTTGTTTACATTGTTACGAGTACTAAGTTTGTTACCAATTTGTAATCTGCGCTCTACCCTTTCTAGGTAAACTGTAAGCACCTTTATAAATAACACATGTATGTATTATTCTCATTGATTAACAAGTTGAGGTCAAATTTTCTCTTTTAATTATGTACATTTTGTAGGTTTAATTTTTCTCGAGTGATCCTGTACTTAACTTAAGTTATTTATATGGTGCCATAAAGTATGGGATACACTTACACCTAATTATTAATGCAATAATTTACTTGTAATTTAATCTTAGTTACAAACAGGCTGAATGTATTTAAAAAAAATGCCTGCATGTGTTATTTAAGTAAAATGTGACTATTCCATTTATTAACCATTACATTTAGTGTGTAAATAAAAGTAGCAAAGTAGCTTTGTTATACACACTTGTGTAGAGATATTGAAATCACGAAAACCCGCAAACATGGTATAACTGTTTAATAAGTGGAATTTTATAAATTATGGTCTAACCGACACCCTTTGCAACTTTAGGAAATTTCTAGAAAAAATTTAGAACCTACTTGTCTTTTTGTATGTTATAAAAGTGTTTCTATGTAATTTACCTCTAACTGGTTAATTTCTCAAAAAAAGGTGTACTTGGACCATAAAAAACTTCGTCATTAAAAAAATTACAGTGTAAGTGCATCTATGTGTAATATTTGTTTTTAAAGCATTTTCATGTTTAAAAACTATTTGTCCTAATTAATAGTGGCAATGCAATGTTAACGACAAAAAAGCATGACCTTATTTGAAAAATCTCAGGTATAATCAGGGATAGCACATTTTATAGTTTTTGAATGAATGTATATATAGTAATATTTTTTGAGGCGTGTGTGAATGTTACGTTTTGTATGAATGGCGTGTGTGTAGTCAACAGTAAACAAAAGTTATGAAATTAGATTACCTCGAATTATCAGGAATTTATACAGTTTATACCTCTTGGTCTTAGCAAAACCAAAGTAAAAGCAGTACAAAAACAAATCTACCTCACATTTACTTAAAATTCCAGAAAATATATTTACACAAGTACAAACACTCTTCAATTTAAATAGTTGAACTCCAGTTTTTCATGTTAATCCACACTCAGGAATACCTATGGTACAAACCTCACTTTACAGAATTTGTTTTGTAATAATAAAACAAATTAAACCTCTAAGATTAATAAATAAATGTGATTGCGAAAATTGAGTACCTAAATTTACTTCATTTAGCTTTGTTGATATTGTGTTAGTTGATTTTTCTGTTAAAAGTAGTAATTTGATTACATGTGAAAATCTGTAATGTTTAGTGTTTTTTTGTGAATAAAATTCACGTTAAATTATTATACTTAATTTTGATCTTAGGAGGCGTTACATTTATACAACAGTGAGTTAGTTATCATACAGACATGTGAAAATATATGAAAAAGTTATATATATTATATGTATCCATAGACAAATAATTAAGAATTGTTGTTGAGAAGTTTTATTTATTTTTAGGTTTACTTTATAAGATATTTGAATGTATGTACGGGTTTTAGCAAATAGTATCCCAAAAAAGGTTTTAATGCTCAATGATGCTGTTACATTTCAAAATTTTAAAATAAAAAATTACTTTCCAGTGTATGAGGCGGTATTGAACTAACACATTTCGTGTTCCTAGTGCGTCTAACATTACATTGTCACAATTATTACATCACAATGTAATGTACAGTAAAACTCCTATTGTTGGGAGTATAAATATCAACTACTATTGTTGTACATAAGTAATTTAAATATGAGTAATTTACTATGTATTCATGTTTGTTTTTCCTTATTAATTTTAATAAACAATTTGACGTTTAATTTATGTTTCTATATGTAGTCTAGCTGTACAATTCCAGATATATTGATTGATTGCTAGTTCTTCACAAGTTGTGGAGGTGTCTAAATTGATAGTTTTAACTGACATTTTACAACCAGGCCTCTGCGTAAATATTTTGGATTTATGTTTGCAGCCGCCTTGTACACTGCCCAGGACCTTTGTTCTGCAGAAATATTTAGGTCTCGTATTTTTTTGCAGCTCTAAAAATGGGTAGTTGTCAAAAAAGTTCCAAACTGCAGAGGATGGCCCGCTGATGATTTAACATTTTAGAAGGTTGTAGGGTGGATCGGTGGATCAGAATTCCGTTTTCCCTGTAATTTTGAAGAAGTGCAATAATATAGTAGGAATAGACAAGTTCAGAATTATCTTTAAATCATTCTCCTACATGAGACGGTCTTGTTCCTAAACATTGAAATCTGAATAATGCACAAGCTGAACAATTAAGTTATTTACACTTTCATTTTCATGGGAATAATTGGATAATAGTTATAACGACCAGAGGTGTCCCAAAACCGGCACTGCAATTGTGACTTACCCTATACTTATAGGTGGCAACTCTGGTGAAAAACTAATAGCGTTTTCGATTGGCAAAACTCGTACTGCACGAGTGTTGCACGAGAAACTGAAGAAATCCATATGAAAATTGCTCTCAATAGAACATAAATAATCGTAAATATTTGTCGTCATTTGTCCATAACCTCATTTTAGATTTAGGTAATCGACAAATCTCTATTCTAAAAAATGACAAACGATTTCAGTATTATTTATGATAAACGATGAGGAATATAAATTTGAAATTCCTGTAAAGGACCAATTTTTGGCGTTCAGTTTAATGAGTAAGTGCAACTTTTTGTAAAATAGGAGTTATGGCTAGTTCATCATCTTCGCTATCGCTAGATGACGACAAAAAACTCTCCCAACGCAAGAAACAAATTCAAATTGTCGCACGTTTGTTTTGAAAATTTGATCACTATTCTAGCAGCTCCACGAGCTCTCGGACCTCGTGCGTCGAAATTTGCACCGAGTGCGTAATTGTTGCATCACATTTGCCAATGGAACACAGAAAATTGCCCTAAAATTACCAATAGAACGTAAAAATTGCACTCGTGCAGCACGAGTTTTGCCAATCAAAAACGCTATAAGAGCAGAGCCACCTAATTTTCAAGGCGAAACGACGGACGTATCGCGGTACTTTTAAATCTCGATAACGGTCCGTTTGATATCGATGACAGGAATGAACTACTACGGTTCTTTTATGTGTTGAGAGTTATAACCTTCCTTTTTTACCAAAATTCGACTACACCAAAATTTCTCGGGAAAACACTTTTTCTTATTAATTTGGGTGCGTAGAATCCAAATCAATTCGTACTTTTTCGATCAGACTTCTCCATCAAAAGTTATAGACTAGAAACCAATTTCGAAAAAAAATTCAAAGGGCTGTAACTTTTGAACTAGTAGCCCAATCTTGGAACTGTTTGAAATTATTGATTCTACAGGCCACATTCTATAAGAAAATTTTTTTTCCGGGTCGATCTGAGACAATTTTTTTTTCGGGGCTCAAAAAAGGGCAGTGTATAACCTTCCTTTTTTACCAAAAATCGACTACACCAAAATTTGACGTAACTATTAATGCAGTTAAACAAATTCACAAAAACACACTAGAAGACATTATAAAAGCAAGTGGAAAACATGAAAAATCAATTTAATACTTGGGCCGAATGTACAAACAATAAATAATCAGATCGTTAGTTAATCAGTATGATTAAATTAAACCTTTGATTAAATTAGATTGGTATGCACCAAACAAAAAAACTCCTTGATTAAGTAACCAAGGTGATTAAGCATTGAAAATATTTGGTAAAAATTGGCGCCGGCAACGTTGTACTTTTATGGAAATGTGTGATTTTTTTTTACAAAGCTTACTTTTTGGATCGTATATAAAAGGCTGTTCTTTTTTGTTATCTGTAATTGAATAGTGAATTTATATGTTTGTGTTCACAATGGAAAATAAGATCCGGGCCAAAACTTGACCGAAGTCATAGAGTAAATTACTCTATACCGAAGTACAGAGAGAACATTTGCTGCAAATAATTGAATCATAAGCAAATATTACCTTCTTATTATAGTAACTTAGTGACTGTTCATTCAATAAAAGTTCCGGTTAAACTTCCATTGAGTGCTTAATTTGATTGAAAGTGGAGCTTATTCCGATATTTATTTTTAACTGCTAGAATTATATATTACAGTAGCTAAAATATTATAAATTAAGCACTGCTTCCTGGTAAAATTTCTCACCTTTAGATACACCTCTCTATCCTGCATGCCTTCAGTCTTATATCAATTCCGAATACTCATTTTTTTCCAATTTCTAGTAAGGAACATATAAACTAGGATCCAGAGCGACGAGCTCTCAGATACTTTCGCATTTTGAAACATCAAACCCATGGTAGTCGTTACAGAAGATTTCATTTCCGAATCAATCACCAAAAAAGCAGTAAGCAAATAAAGCACTTTTATGACATCATAAAACGAAATGCGAGAAAAGCGGATGCGTCCGAGCAATGTATCTATACCTACCTAAGCAATGTTTAAAGTTTATAAATTCATTAGGGTATTTAATTGTAGGTACGTTTTTAGAAAGAAAGGTATCGAGGGCAATTAAAGAAGCTTCTGATGGAGACATGGCGCAACAAGTTATAGAAAAGCTTCTAGAAGTAGCTTTACTTTCCAAAAAGTGTGAAAAAGTAAGTAACCTAACCTAGTAACCTCCTATTTCCAAGGTAGGGAGAAAGAAAGCTGAAGGAGAAATCGAAAGCAGCATCACCGACACAACAAATGCTATCGATAATGAGTGTTATGGTAAAGCCTCTTATTATGTTACAAATCAAAGTTTGAAATTGCATAATAAAAGCATTGTTTTAAAGATGGCGAGTCGTTATTGCTCTTGGAACCTTCCGCTCCAGTAATCATCCTTGAAGTGACTCAAAATACCTATCCTTTTCATTTTCTTCCACACCAGACCAGACTACTCCAAAACGTGGAATAATTGCTCCAAAACGGAGATCCCAAATCCAAAATAAGAGGTCAGTTTGCAGCAATTTAAAAAAAACTACCACCTTCAACAGTGGAAGAATGCTCGACTGGAATACTACACTCTCCTCATGGAGAAGAATTTTAGAAAACGCGTTTACGCGAGTCAAAGAAATGAATATATTTTCTATTTAAATAAAATGATGTTAAAAACTATTAGAATACCTACGCCTAATTATTCTATAAAAATAACTTTTCAGAAACTCAAATCGAAAATTATGAACAAGCTGTCAGTTTAATCATAAAATTCATAAAAGGAGGCGAAAATCATCAGTTTTCGTGGCTTTTTGCGGTTTTTTGCAAATATATCGCGTCTTTTAGGGTTAGATGAAATATTTTTAGTTGTAAATGCTCCTCGTGAAATTTCGTACAAGGTAGATACTCAGAAGTTAGCCTAGGTGTACCTCTTGGCCTACAACATTCATAAAAGTAGGCGAAAATCATCCATTTTCTTGTTTTTTTTTGCGGTTTTATGCAAATATATCGCGACCTTCAGGGCTAGATGAAATATGTTTAGCTGAAAATGCTCTTCGTGAAATTTCATACGAGAGAAAAAAGAAAAGAGAAGAGAGAAAAGGAATGTGTGAATATTTTGATTTGAAAATACTGTTTTTACGTAAATAAATTGTACAGATGTATATAATGGTACCTAGAAATACTTTGTTTTACAATGAATATTCCCTCACACATGAAAGTTGAAGGTGAAAGGTGACTTTACGCCAACTCTTCAGTTACCTCTACCTCGTATGAAATTTCACGAAGAGCATTTTCAGCTAAACATATTATATCCAGAGACTTGTTATACTCTACAAGTCTCTGATTATATCTAGCCCTGAAGGTCGCGATATATTTGCAAAAAACCGCAAAAAAAAACAAGAAAATGGATGATTTTCGCCTACTTTTATGAATGTTGTAGGCCAAGAGGTACACCTAGGCTAACTTCTGAGTATCTACCTTGTACGAAATTTCACGAGGAGCATTTTCAGCTAATGATATTTCATCTAACCCTAAAGGTCGCGATATACCATATACCATATGGTTGTGAAGTCCACAAGGGGACCACTACGATTCCTGGTGCATATTCTTTGACAATAACTTTTTCGTAACACTCCTAGGATATTACACGAAGGAAAAACATAAAAAGAAGTGAGACTGCGAACTTATAATGAAAGTATCTACAGCCCAGCATGCTGGACCCCTTAACAATGAGATAAATTTTGGGCATTTTTTATTAACTCTATTTGGAAAAAATCAATGCCTGGCGGTCTTCTGTAGAGTTAGGAACATTTCCCTCTCAAACGACTTTGTATACAACCACAGATGGATTGCAACCGCAGGATCAAGCTGCCATTATACTACTGATATATCCTAAGTGTTGAATTCTTTGACTTGGTATGCCCGTGTTTATAATTAATAATGAATCCAATATGGTTAACCACACTATTAGTTAATTGCACATTCTGCACATCCTTGATAGCAAAAAATCATCTAAATATAACACTGAGAAAATGATCTTCATACAATATATTGTTAAATTTAAACCAAAGGTACCTTGTTTGACGTTTAGCTATAGGGATTATTAATAAGCATAGGTACTTCAAATCGAGGTTTTAAAGGGGGTCGTTTGTAGAAAGCTGTTGTCGGGTTTTAGGTTTAAAATGGCTCTCTTAGAACCATCCGGCTTTGCAACAAGGAAAATCTTGGACACAGATTGATCCCTGCATGCGGTAACTATATATTATGGTTTTAAACTTTAGCAGTTTTCATATCGAGTTAGAGACATAGGTATACTGTATACATCAGTGCGTTCGAGAGATTAGCTCATTATTTCTTTTATTTGCGAGATACGAAAGATTTGGCAAATACACTTTTATATGTGACATTACGATCT